CGGTGTATAACGCCATTGAGTTCAGGTACAAGCTGACGTGAAAGTTAAGGTCAGACTTACCGTTGTATATTTGGAATCTCGGCATGTGGAACCTTTTCGAGGCCTCAAACTTGTCCAATTCAACCGAGAACGGCATTCTCAGCTTGACCAGTAATGTTACCTCAGCATCTTGTCGCTTCCTCTAGAGGTAATCCCTCAGATCCTCCTTGGTCCGTCCAGGAGCTCGGCTATCAACGGATTTCAGCCTTTTCGGTGCGCTACTCCCAGTATCGTTATGAGTCCTCTTGGATCTTTCTCCATTAGTTGCGTCGAAACACAATTCATTCCCTTGAACATGCCGATGTTCTTTGGGATCAGCTTCTTTGGTACGATGCGTCCTCCGAGAATCTCCCTTCATTGACTCTCCTCGCTCGACCTCCCTTGAAGGTCGGTGAGAGTATTCCTTGGTCCTGGTGTGCTGGGGGACTGTAGGGACTGTTTTCTACCCCCCTTTCTGGGCATTGTTCTTAGCCGTTAGAATCGGTGTATCTTGTAATGGAAACGATGGCTGCATGATGTTGTTCTGCATCATGAAATTGACGACTGATTGCAGGTCCGCTAATTTATTTTCTATTTCCTTCATCTCTCTGTCCCTCCGCAGGCATCTATCTTTCCATACTTGGAGATCGTTCTCGTTATAATACCCGCCATGGTCTGCCTTATTTGGTACGTCTCCCTCCTGGCCGACGTCCTTCTCTCCGAGATTCTAATCTCGAGTTTCTTCATTGCAGTTATCCTCCTCTACGTTGGGATCAAAATGTTTACCACTTCCAGTAGAGATGTCGTCCCCAATCTTTTCTTTCTGTCCGTCGTTGGCCATCTATTCTCCTTTCTTTCCCACAGACGGTGTCAAATTGTGTGTGCTGTTGTCTGACCACACTGCCAAACAGGTACTCAGCTGGAGAACACTGGCAGAATAGATTGCGCCCGAACGACTTGTCATAGAAAGAAAAGACTCCGGCGGTGGTTCTTCCACCCCGGGACACTCCGACAATTAAGTCGGTAATCAATATCTCTCAAAGATAACCAATTGTGCTTAACTCACAATGCCAAAATATAAAAGCGTACCTTAGACTCACAATGGTGCCCTCCCTTATAACCAGCACTAACCTGATCCTTGTAGAAGCCTAGCTCCTCTTGGATTCTGGCTCAATGTTTATCCTGGACTCTCCACTAGATAAAGATAAACTTCTTAAAAGCTTTATCCTTATCCAAGCCAAGGTCCTCCCCCATCCTCGGACTCCTGTCCCTTATCCGTTCATCTCAGATTCCCGTATCTCCGCAGATAACCTCGGCCTAGCTGAGATCACCTCAGCACCATCACCAAGACACGTGGCACCTCGGCTGGCACTTCGGTGCCACATTGATTACGTGCTGTCATTCAAGAAATATGTCCCCACAATATTGAAATAAAATTGTAAGTATGAGATTTAAATTATTAGAATTGAAACTATATCGATTAAAGCAACACTTCGCTTAAATTACAGAGACTAATGGTGTAATTTATCCAATATAGTCTATTTTGTGAAATTTTTTATATTCTTTGAAAAATTCAACAATGATATTGACTAATGAGAGAGATCCAAAACAAAACAAAACAAAAAGAAAGAAAGAAAGTTTAGGAATACAAAAAATAATTATAAAATGGGGATGGATAAGATTTTTGAAAAATGAGTTCCATTGAAAATTTTTATTTAATTATGTATATTCTGTGTTTTATTAGGTGTTGGTAGCAGAATTTTGAGATTGAAAAGATGGTGTATGGTATTAGTGCTTTGAGGACATTTGGTCCCCCTACTTTTTTTCTCCATATGATTTTCATTTCCAACATAAATGAGAATTTGATTCTTTTTCCAACTTTATGCTCTCCCAATTTAATGCAACAAAGAATCCTCTGAAAATTAGTGGATTTGGACCATTATGCTGCCTTTTCCATCATTATACTACATTTGCTAAATGAACCTTGAAAACAATGACTGAATTGCAATTCTAGATAAGTTTTTCTTGTTATAAGATTATCTATAAGTATTAAATATCATGAAATTTGCTCCTTTTTTTTGGTCAGTTAATAAGAGATAATCTATAAGTATTATAAAATTTACATAATTATTTTACATACATTAGGAGATCTAAGTATTTTATTTATAGCTAAAATGATTCTTATATTCCGCTCATAATGTGACTTTAAATGATTTATTACTGAATAAGACTTTCATCATAAAGTGTATTATTCTTACCTTGAGATAATCTAAGTTATATATTTGTCTTATTTTATTTGCACCAAAAATAACCCTTGAAATATAAGTTAGAAATTGAGTTGGCAATATACCAAATAAGTTGTTTATTGATTTATTAACGTATTTCTATCACATTACTTCTTTAACTTTTTACATATATTTTCATAATAAATAAAAAAGTCAAAAAAATAAATCATACCCAAACCACATTTCTCTTCTTTTACAAAATTCAAAGGACAGGATGAGGAGGAAGTTGACAACAATGAGAAAATGTAGGAAAATTCACACTCTAAGAAAGAAAAAATGTAGGAAAGGATTCTCACTTTAGGAAAATTACCATTGAAAGGTTGGTAGCAGACCCCCCCACAAATGGAAAAGGAAATTGAAAATCAATTAAACAGTCATCAAATAATTGCATCATGAATAAATTCTTTTGTGTGTAAATGTGTCGTAGAAAAAATTTGCGTTAAACACATGAATAGATTTGCATTATAAAATCTTGTGTCCCCATAAAAATGAAATTACTTTTTCACTATTTCACTAAAATGTAATTGAAAGCACCTTCTATCTAGTCCAAAATTAGATTGAACAATGCTATTGATTGAAACCATTTCATATAGAGCTCGTCGAGTACATCATTTTTGTAAAAAATTATGTTAATTAAATATTGATAGTTACTTGATCATATTACATGTGTTTTAGACAATTATAATTTTAAAAATAGATCGCAAACAAAAATACGATCTGATCAATGTAATTTTTTTACAATTTTTGTAAGAATTATATACTTAACAAATTATACACATTAAATAATTTAAATTATCAAAATAAATCTAAAATTAAACCCTTCAAACTCAACAATACTGTCTAATCCCATTCTTAACCAGAGAAGATGTTCTCAATGCAATTTTCCCCAAATGGAAAAGTGATTCCGTACTAGTCATCAAGATGTGGACAATCTCTCTCCCAATCCCAATCCCAATCACAATCACACCACCAGAGGGCTCCCTCTAGAGTCAGTCATGGCTCTGAAGTCAATGCTTAAATGTATAGAAATTGGAAAATTCTTTCTAATTCCCACTTCGATAATGATGCCCCAAATTCCCCATTTCTCATCTTTTTTTTCTATTGTCTGATGGACCGTTGGGGTGTATTTTCTCATCAACCAATCAACCCCCCAACCCCACCAAAAAGATGAGAAAAAGAAGGATTTTTTATTAATTAATAAGTGTTGTAATTGTACTTGTTGAAAATAATTGAAAAAGTGATTGGTGATTGGTGGTGGTGCTTAATGTTCCATCTTTAGGTTTTTAACCTATGTTAATCTTTCAATATTCCGTTCAAAATAAAAAAATAAAAAAACTTTCAATATTTCTCGTTATGTTTTTCCTCCTTTATATATGAATTTCTTATATTTTGTCAAAAAAAATAATACACATATATATGTCTATATTAATTTTAAACTTTATTAATTAATATTTTAAGATATTTATTAACAATATTCACAAAATAAATGCAATTAATACAAAATAAAAGCAATTAATTAGGCTGAAAGAGTAAGATATATGCAATTGGAAAAGGAAAATATTATGGATCCTAAATAAATTATCAATTTTTTTATCAAATCTCTCACATGGGTGTGGAACCCACACGTGTGATTTGTGTGAGTCAACACCTATATAAAAGATTTAATAAAAAATTTAATAATTTATTTGAAATTCTTAGCAATTTTATTTTTTATTTTCATTGAGTTTGTTTTCATTAAATCTTGTCATTGTGTTTAAGTTGTCTTTTAAAAAGAGGAGTTTCTTTTTAGTTGGCAATCAAACTGGAGAAGTATTTTGTTAGGGTTGGATGAGCCCATCTTAGACCCACTTGAATAATTTATTTTTAAAAGTTGACCAGTAAAATTTTAAAAATATAATCACTATTTTTTTTGTAAATAAATGTGATTTGATTATATCAATATTCGATGAATTTGAAATAAATCGTTAAAATCATTAAAGTGGAGTCAATATACAAAAATAATAGAATAATGTTTACAAACATAAAAATTATACATAATGATGTGCCTTTTCTTGTGATTGTTTCATTTAAAAACACAAGATTCATCATTATGAATATAACTATAAGTTGTCATTACCATATTATTTTAAATTATGTATAAAATTCTATTCAATATATCATTTTTTCTAAACAATAACTCTCTAATTAAATTACTTGACTCTTAAAAAAAAAAAAGATAAATTATAATAACACCCTCATTAGATTTGTTTAAAATACGATTTATTTCATGTGATTTTAAAAATTACATTTCGCCCTTTGAAGTTTCTAATTTTATAACAAATGACTCATTTTATTAATAAATCATCAGTTAATTATTTGAAGTTTCTAATTTTATAACAAATGACTCATTTTATTAATAAATCATCAGTTAATTAACAGTTTTTAATGATATTAAAATTTTATTTCAGTTAATAATTCAAGTGATTTTATCATTATATAGGAAAATAGCTAAAAAAATTATTTTTTTAATTATTTTTATTAAAAAAATATTAACAAGAAAGTATTTTTAATTTTGTAAACTATATAAAACAATTCATATTTTTTTGACAAAAAAAAACTCCACCTCAACTAATGTATTTTTTTGACAATCTCAACTAATGTATTTGTACAAAAAAAAAAAGAGGAGAGAGAAAACTAAAGTCTAGAGAGGGAGGGAGTGGCAAAACACAAGTGTAACAACAAAACAAAAGCAAATAAGCAATCCCCTTCTCATCATCAAAGCCTTGTTTTTCACTCATCCATCTCTTCTTCTCCACCCAAAAAACTAACCCAACCCCCTCTCTCTCTCTCTCTCTCTCTCTCTCTCCATTGGTGGAGAGTCACAAGCCTATCAATGGAGATCATCACCTCTAGACCTCAAGAGAGAGAGAACCCATCTCCCACAAACTCCCCCAATACCAGCAGCACCAACAGCAATGGAGTCCTCCACTCTCAAACCCCTCCTCTCACCCCAAAACCCCCTCTCTCCAGATCTGAATCCAACCCCTACCCAACAACCTTCGTCCAAGCCGACACCACCACATTCAAACAAGTCGTCCAAATGCTCACCGGGTCGTCGGAAACCGCCAAGCAAGCCTCCAAACCACCGTCCTCCGCCGCAGATCCGCCGCCCTCCAAATCCTACATCCCACCAATCAAAAGCACAGGTCAAAAAAAACAGGGATTCAAGCTTTATGAGAGAAGGAACAGCCTCAAAAATGGCCTCATGATCAGCCCTCTGATCCCTAATTTGGGTCAGAATTCTGGGTTTTCGCCGAGGAAGACGACGGCGATGGAGAGCTTGTCACCGAGTATACTCAATTTTCCGGCGCTGGTTCTGAGTCCGGTGACGCCATTGATCGAAGACCCGTTTGACAGGTCGATGGGGAGTTCTTCTTCGTCGTTGGCGGAGGAAGAGAAAGCGATTGCGGAGAAAGGGTTTTATTTGCATCCATCGCCGAGAACTGCGACTCCGAGAGGGTCGGAGCCGCAGCTCTTGCCACTGTTTCCATTGACATCTCCAAGAGTCTCAGACACTACTACTTGATGAGAAAATTGTTAATTTGCGTGTAATTTTATGTTGGATAGTTTGGGGAGAGGGGTAGATATTTGGTTGGGAGGTGGGAATTAGGAAAAAAATTTACAAATATATGAGGATGTAAATGTATCTGTGATGAGATGCAAATGAAAGACGGTAGGGTGTAAGTGTCTCTTGCACCCCTTCCATTCCATGTATTTGTAATTTTTTTCCTCAACTCTCACTTACGTATTCCCCATATTTGGTTCAATGGTACAATTTGATCTTTCTTCTTCCATTGTTCCAAAAAAAAAAAAAAAATGGAAAGATGTTGGTTTGGTCTGACTTGTGTTAGTGATCTTGGTGGATGGGTGGATGGGTTAAAGTTATGAAAACAATCTCTCTAACGGGTAAAAAAGAATATACATTGTATTTTTTTCTATACCTGTTTTAAGTAAGAGTCACGTGTAAGTTCTCTTTTTTGTGTATTTGGCCTTACTTGTCATTAGAGTAAGAGTCACGTGTAAGTTCTCTTTTTTGTGTATTTGGCCTTACTTGTCATTAGGGTTTATCATAAGTGGCTTGGATTCAAAAAGGCATTTTGGGCATCTTGGTGGCCACAAAAATAGTCTCTCTAAATACAAGTAAGACTTCATACATTTTGTTCTCTCTATATCTGTTTAGCATGAGTGGTGTGTAAGTTTTTTGTTGAGCCAGTGTCGCTCGATTTCTTATTAACAACTCTGATCGATAAGTTGAAGTCATGAAAATGGCATTTTCTTAATGGTGTGTTTGGTTGAGAGATTTGGAGAGTGATTTGGAAAGGAAAAGGTGTGTGAAACTATGTGAAATATAGGCATGATTTATTCACATTTCACCTACCTTTTTCATTTCTCTTTCCAAACCCTCTCTAAATCCCCCAACTAAACACAGCATAAATAGGGATAACATCATGTACATTTTGCCTTACTCAATCTGACCTTTGTGGAAATTTCGTGTAATGAATTGTCTTTTCTTTTTCTTCTTTTAAATCACCTGATTTTTTGTGTTTCTCTCTTCTCTTCTCTTCTCTTGGCAACAATAGCATATGAATGAAATTTTGTGGAACATGGACTTTAGGAGAAATGTTTTTGCCTTTATGTTGCATTGCTTTGTTTGTTGTGTTTTCAACAACCAAGAAAAAAGGTCATTAAAGTATCATTGCCATTGGTTACCTAATGGGTGGAATTATTAAATTCATATGCTTTGCATATATTCACATACACAATTGATAAACATGAAAATGTTAATGGGTAGGGTATCCAATTCATATTCACACCACATATTAGTATATTACACACAACTAGCAAAGGAAGTTTGTGTATGGGAAAAAGATATAGGTTTGCCAATTTCTTTCTAGTTGCTTTTTATTTTTATTTTTAAATTTGATGTGTTTAATAATTGTTAAAAAAGTTATTTTTTTGCTTGTAAAAATGTTACCTTTTTTAGTAAAGCCAAAATTTTACCCAAAAATAGTTTATTTAGCCAAAGCCAAACTAGTTGTAAATTACCAATTTTCTACTAATTACATGTGTTGTGTAGTTGGTAAAAAAATTAATAATTTAATAGGCGGATGTAACAAAGTGAGTGTTGTTTCTCATAACACTAATCAGAATCCTCTATTTTTTTTTTTTTGTAATGATTTTTAGTGGCAGAGCCAGAATTTATTAACAATGGGTTCAATTAGCAATCAATACATTATATAAGAATCAACTTATTTTAAAATATATATATATTTAAAAATACAAAAAAGCTAAAAACATGCTATTTCATTTTTATTTTGAATTAAATTTCCAGTAAGAATAACATTTTAAGGAACTTTTTCATGTTAAAACTTGGCATCCTCTTCAATAATATATAATTTAGTGGGGGTCATTTTGATGAAATTCCAAAATATCAAGTGATTTTTTAAATTTATTTCATGATATTACAAAGTATTAGTTAAAGTATTAAATAAACCCCACTTATCTATAAAATTTCAGTGGGTTCATTTAAACCCACAACCATGATGATCTTATTATGGTAATCGAATAGCTCAAACTTAAATTTAAAGTAAAATGACAACATTTTGAGCATGTAGTTTAAAATAAAAAGATAATATTTCAAGTTTACATCATTGCAAAAAAGGAATGGTGGAGGATTCAAGTCCTCTCACAACAACAATGTTATGGAGGAAAAACAATAATTAAAAAAAAATGATTAAAAAAAATAAAATGTGCAAACAAGATTTAGGGGTTGTTTAGGGTGTTCTAAATAAGAACACTTTTTATCTTTTTAGACTAAAAAATTGAGAAAAAAATATGAATGTTTGGATTAACTTTTTGACTTTTTATGGAAAAATGTGTATTAAAAAATTGTATAAATTAGTGTGTAAGGAAAAATTAGGATTGGAAGTTGTACAGCTGTAATTTTTGACTTTTGGTAAATAGTGATAACTTTTTAACTTTTTGAGTAATTTTTTGATTTTTTTACTTATTTTTAACTTGCCAAACTTGACCTTATTCGAGGCGCCATTTGGCAAGGGTTAAAAAAAATATTATTTTTAAATAATAGGTCAAAAATCAAAAATTTATTTGTCTTAAGCTGAAAAAATAACTAAAAAAACTTTTAAAAAATCACATTTTCAGTAACAAAAAATAACTAATTAGAAATCACCAAATATTTTTAGATTCTAAATCCAAAAATAAAATAAAAATAAAATTTCAAAGTAACAGCTGGATGCTCTAATGAGGTAGTTATTGAACCATGCGTGAAAGACATTAATAACCCAACAAAACCATAAAAAGAATAATGCTTGGGACCCCCTTTTGGGGGTCACCCCCTCACCCCCTTTGCCACGTGGCAGGGGGTGATTGGTGGAGCAGGAAAAAAAAGAAAAAGAAAAAGAAAAGGTAACCAATGAGAGAGAGAGAGGGGGTCAAAGGGGGTGGGAGAAAAAGGGGGATGAATCATTACTCCCATAAAAAATAGAGTTTCAATTCTTTGACCATCAACGGTTGTAAGAGCAGTTATGACTAATTAATATACATATCATTTTTCCAATAATTGATTATTTTCTTAAATTTAATTGTGAAATAAAATAAATTCATTCAAGATATTTTTCTATATTAGAGCTTTTAAGTTGTAATGAAGTGTCTTTTTGACTTGAGAGGGTATCCAGGAGAGAGAAAAAGAGAGAAAAAGAAAGTGGGACTTATTATGATGGTGATTGAAAAAGAAGTAAAAGAGAGTATGATCAAATTTAGCCTAAAGAGAAATGGGGACACCTTTTCTTTTTCTTTTTTCTTTTTTTTTTTATATGAAAATGTAATCTTGTCACAGTGCATATATCAATTTTTTCCTGTGCACATAATTTGATTACAAAATTAAACATAACTTCTTTTTTCTTTTTAATAAATTGAGAAAAAAATGAAAGGAAAAAAAAATACAGACTAAACTGGCTGTCGCACCAGTGTAGAGCATAGAGAGGGGGGTTTTATTGGAGGGGCTAGGGAGTAGGGTTGTAGCGGGTCGGGTGGGCTAGGGAGAGGGTCACAATGGAAAATGGCTAGGGGTTGGCAGTCAAAAGTGGAGATGGTGGCGATAGTAACAGTGGCAACCAAAGGTGGTGGTTGGGGGTGGGATAGAGTTATGGCTTGAAAAGTGATGGACATCCAGATGGGGGCATACTCAGCATTATGGTGAGTGTAAAAAGATTATTAAAATCACCCAAAGCTCCTGTATGGCCCTTTCTTCTTTTTTTTTTTTTGCTTTTTTTTTGGTGGTGTGGTAGACAAGACAAGACAAAAGGTTCCAATTTCACAATTCCTCAGAGTATCTCAACATGACAAAATTATGGTTTGGTGATGGGATAAATTCAATTGGCATCCCAATTTGAATTTTATTGTCTAAAACAATGAACCAGACCACTTTTTTGTTTTGTCATTTTTTAGGAGATAAGAGAACAGTTGTCCTAACATATGTGGTGTGAAGTAATGCTCCAATACGACCAAATAACTTCTCTCAGCAAGCCATTTTTGCCCATTCACCATAATTTACCCCTGCAAAAGCCAAGGTTACCCTAATAATAAGAACACTTCAGTAATTTGTTACTTTGTTAATTTGTACCTGACATGTTTACTCACATCAGTGCCAGTAAACAGAACATGCATTCAATCGGGTAAACAAGCTCATGCGAGCAATATCAAGGATAAACACTTTCAGACAAGTCATTAACTGCAAAGGAAACCAAGAGAGACAGACTGCAACAAAACATGAATTCACTGTCAAGTTCCATTAGGAAGAGATTTTATTTATCTTCATGAATTTATGTCATGTTCTGCAAGATTACAGAGGAACAACACATCCAGCGTTAGATTTCTGAGAAAGAATTGATTGTCTTGAACCCATGATTCTCTGGTAGAGGTCCATTTCCCAGCCGCACAGAAATTATCACCTCCAAACCTGAAACATTTATCCCAATTCAAATATCAAATTTCAAAACTGAGCTCTCCATGTTCAGATTTCAATTATTCAGCCTAGTCACTGTTTGGTTTTCAAAAACTATGTTCTCCTCACTTCTTTTTAATCGCATTTTTTTGTATTTGGTGAATTTTTTTCTCCATATTTTAGTCTCTTTTTGTTATTTTAAAAAAAAAATTGATACACCTAACAAGTGAAGTATATGTGAAGAAATCTGGAAAAAAATTCAGAAAAGACAAAAAAAAAAACAAAAAAAACACAGAAATGTGCTGGCTTTTCTTATTTTTACTTTTGGTTTTCTATTGTTTATGGTGAAGTTTTTTCATATTTTGTTCAATTTTTTATTTTTTATTTTTTTACTTTTAGATACATCTAGATTAGGTGTATGAAAAAAGTTAACTAAAGACCCAATAATAAAACAGTTTTGAAAAAATGAACACCTTTGTTTCAATACTTGTTTTTGTGTGATTTGGATTAGGTCATAGATGCACAAAACAGGAGTGGGGACATGGATGGGGGAGCAAGGGCCCAATAGAAGAGTTTAAGGATGGGAGCAGAAGCGGGCGCTGAAGGTGGGAGTGAAGTCTGGGATTATGGGGCAAGGCCCGGCTACTAAGGTTTAGGTTTTGCTAGTTCTTAGGTTGGTCTGGTGCTCAGGTATGTATTTTCTTATGCCTCTCTTCTTTGAACTATCTACTGTACATTTTTATCTAATGGATGAAATGATGTTCTTCCCTTTGCCAAAAAAAATCAAAAGAATTCAAGGTTTAAAATGGAAATCACATGCACATTACCTGCTGCCTTGGCAGCTACAGCTTCTTGATAGACATCGGTCACAAATAAGATCTGTGATGGCTTATCTACGCCCACTGATTCTGAGATTTCAATGTAACTTCTTGTTTCTTTCTTGTTCCTGCAAGTAATAGAAGTTAAATGACGGTTTATTTAGAATCAAATGGTAGTAGAAAAAATCATTTTAAAGCAGAGAATTGCATTTAAAGATTGTATAACATACCCCACTGTGGTATCAAAAAATCCACACAAGTATTTTCTTAAGTCCCCATAATTTGAGTAGCCAAATAAGAGCCTCTGTGCCAATCTGCTACCACTGGAATATATGTACACCTGAGGAAAGGGAAGAAGTTGAGAGTCAGACAAGATCATTTAAGAACCTTCACATGACAAGATTATATGCCGCTCCCAGCTAATTATCCCACAAAATTAATGGAAAGGGGATCTGTATTGGAGAGTCCTTCAATAATAGAATCAAGAGGGAGCGTAGGAGGAGATAATAATAAGTATGTTGATCATCAAACCATCTCCTTTTCATAGTATCAATCAGCAAATCTAAAGATTTCCACAGTTCCATATGGCAGTAACAGATGCCTTCTAAGGGCCTGTTTGGGGGCAGCTTTTCTCAAGCTGAAAGTTGATAATTAGAAAGCAAAAACTAAAAGCACTCCTTCCCCAGCTTCCAGATTATCAGCTTTATTTTCAAATTTAAGCTATTTTTGCTTCATAAGCAAACAAACTGTCACACACGCTCAAATTAAAAATAAAAAACTATAAGTAGCGCAATAAACTGCACCAAATAGCACCTAATGTCAAGTTTTGACAAATAATTACAAACTATATCAGTGAAGGCTTCATTCCTATCATAGCATCACCAATTCCAAATATTACAGAAAACAAAAGCATTTCAAGTAGTATTCTTTTATCTTTGGAAATTAATAATTGCAAAACCGTACCAGATTTTCCATGTGCACAGAACCACACGAGAAAACAATGCTGGATAAAATAAAACAGGTTCGAGGTATATCCAAGGGGAAAACCAGTAACAAAAGGAAAGGAAAAGAAGAACATAAAAATGACCTTGATGCCACAAGCATGCCACTTCTCAAGAGCTTCAGGCACATCATCAAAAACTATACCCTCTAGATCATTATTCTGGAATCCAGTCTTCCACATATGACCCTGAATCCTTCAAATGTTAGCCAGATTGTGGAAATAATTCCCAGAGAGTATTTTTGCTGTAATTTCCATTTTGCTTACCTGCAATTGTTTTAAGGAAGTAATCTTCCTGTCAGCTTTTATCATTGCTTCCACGTTGGCAATCAAAGCTGTAATGACCTTCTGTTTCCCTGCATCATCAGAGGGGATGGGCACAGCACCAGCAATTCCTCGTTCTAAGTCATCCTGTACCTGCAAGAACATAGAATTTCATACACTTCATTATCTTTGTTTGAATAAGTAAATTTGGACTCCAGTGAAATGTATGAGAGATGACTTTCAGACTCCAACCCAATAAAATAAAATAAAATAATGCTCATGATAGCTTCCCAAAATCCACAGGAACAAAGATATGTGCATGTTGGTGAATATACTACTAAATATCCGACTTTCATGTCTGAATTCTAAATGTCCAATTATCATTTACAGTAAAATAATGAAGAAAAACAACAATTCACCAAAAGGTTGCGTGAAAAATTTCTCAGAATATTCTTTTGCACATTTTGAAGATAAATGAAAGTTAACTCTTTTTATTTGGAGCATCCTCGACACCCCAACCTCCCTCGAAAGAAAAAGGAAAGGAAAAGGCCTCACTTGAGATCGTAACAAGTTAATGTCATCTTTGGTCTCTGCAGTGTCATATGTTGCATCTAAATGCCTCCCCACATTGTCACAGGCATATGGAAAGAGAACATCAGTAACAAATGATATGGGAGTAGTGGTCCCTTCAATGTCCAGAACAATGCAACGCTGCAGTAAAATTTAGTAAATAAACAATACAAGTTAGAATTTGAACCAGAATTGAAGAATGTCATCAGTCATGACCTTTCTAGCGAAAGGGAGAATATTGACAATCATCAACAACTTACTCGTGATGGCTCAATGCCATTATTTGATACAAGAGACCCTGCCTTCACAGACATGGCTACATTCTGGTGACCACCTAAAACTCCTCTGGAAATGGGACCATGATTAGGGGTAGACCAGTCCAGGCCCAATTGATGAAGTTTAATAGCAGCATCAAAGAGATAGTGGTAACATTCAGCCTGGAAGACTAAGTTGTCAATTGGAGATAAAGCATATCAAATAAACTTTAAAGCCATGACAAGTGCCTTCATCTTCATGACAGAAGAGCATTCCTTATAGAAGGACAAACAAGTCAATTCATGGAGATTTGGTTTTAAAATATAATGTAAGGGGAAAAAATTGTACAAGTATGCACACATCAGTTCCATGTTATCTAAATTATACAAATACAGTCCCAATAAATTTTGAGTTCAGTGTGGGATTTGTTGGAGTGTTGGGGAAACAGTTTTCAATGGAAGAGAAAGAAGAAAGCCTTCGTGGTTGCTCCATTTTGTGTTATATTGTGGAGGGAAAAAATAGACACACTTATGAAGAATCTGAGTTACAGATACAAAAACTTGAGATGAGTCTTCTGCATAATTATTTTTTGTGAGTTCTCTTTTCTTCCCATAGTATTTTTAGTTGAGCTCAATTTTTGTGTCATTTATTTTTTTTTTAATCCCTGTTAGTTTTTGTACAAAGGGTGTGCCCCTTTTGGGGTTTTTTCATTTTTGCAATACAATATTTTCTTATTACTTATCAAAATACGTATACAATTAATTTTTCAAAATTTGGGAACATCCCATTCAAATGAATGCTCCTATCTGCATTCTTTTCCTAATTCTTGCATCTACAAGTTGTATACATGTTGTGATTTCAGAATGGAATGCGAGTTAACTTCATCAGAACTTGCAAATGCAAAAGTCATCAATACCAAATTAAACCCACAGTAAATCAGCCTATAAATATAATGATAATATTATGGGGACCTAATTTTCTGCCTGCTAACACTTTTCAATCCATGGCAGGAAAAAGGGATGTAAAGAAGGGGGGGAAACATAGAAAGAAGGCGGTGTTGTTGTTTGAGACCATATTATATTTTTTAAGCTTACAAGAAGAGAAATATTTTAAGAACACTAAATCATTTGATCAGTATAAAAAATGTGATTAAAAGCCAGTATTTAAATGATATTCAAGAAAATATAGGAACTGAAATGAAGTTCTTTGCAACTGATCAATATTGTTCATATCTTCCCCTAGATAAAACAAACCTGGGTTTTAGCACTGATCCAAGAATCCCCCCATATATATATGCCATGGTTCCGAACCAGCACAGCTGTTGTTTTTGGATAAGCTTCAATCTATACCACAATGGGAAAAGCTCAATCAGTCTGAAGCAATATTCACTCAGAACAACAACATAGAATCAGAAATTCTCTACATCATTTTAATGGTCCAGAGGTTCATGTTTGGCGTCATTTTTTCACCTCTTAGTTTTGAGTACAATTCTGTGCTTCAAAATTAAAAAGGAAGTCTAGCGAATACTCGCATACATATACAACTAGAAAACAACCAAAAGATCTCACCGCATAAAACATACAATGTTTTCTGGACACTAGCAAATGAACACAGGAAAGAGCAATCATGACATTTTGAAGTTTCTTCACCGCAACAGAACAGTTTTGGTAAGAAGGAAACAACAAGAATTGGCAACATGCATTAAAAGCATAACATAAAGGGATCATAGAAGCAATAGTTTGATACAAACCCCTTGGGTAGAACTCACCCTTGAAAAAATATAAATGTAAATAATAGTTAATTATAAATAGTACATTTATATAATAGTGGCAGTATATATTATTATTTTGGTAAAATATTGACTTTTTTAGTATATTTATATATATTGTATATATAATTGTATAATCAAAGTTTTAATTGTAACTTTAATCTCATACGCAAGTATGAATTTATAAATTTTTTTGGCTCGTTAAGGCTCGTGAACAGGCTCGAGCTCGAGTCAAGCCTAAGCCAACTCGGCTTGAGCTCGGTACGTTAAGTTTTTATTAAGCTCAAGGTCAAACTCATTAAAATCTTAATAAACAAACCCAAACATACTAAAGCTCGGCTCGGCTCAGCTCGGCTCATTTTGCAGCCCTTGCCGATATGGGATCGTAGCATACCACAACACTCCACAGTCAACGTCCACGGCAGCCCACTCTATCAACACTAACCTGGTGGTAGCCTTTTCCCTTCTGGTAGCTTCACTCAACTATCAGCATTCGACACCTTTTTAGGTGTCTTAATCCAGCCTATAGGTCGCCCCCTCCACGGTTTGAACCGCAAAGCCGCACCCATTCGATCCCACACTGGCATAGGTGCGTCCGATCCCATACTTGACGTGGTGGCTGGCCCCGATACCAAATGATGCGTACCCCTTGGGTAGAACTCACCCTTGAAAAAATATAAATGTAAATAATAGTTAATTATAAATAGTACATTTATATAATAGTGGCAGTATATATTATTATTTTGGTAAAATATTGACTTTTTTAGTATATTTATATATATTGTATATATAATTGTATAATTAAAGTTTTAATTGTAACTTTAGTCTCATACGCAAGTATGAATTTATAAATTTTTTGGCTCGTTAAGGCTCGTGAACAGGCTCGAGCTCGAGTCAAGCCTAAGCCAACTCGGCTTGAGCTCGGTACGTTAAGTTTTTATTAAGCTCAAGGTCAAACTCATTAAAATCTTAATAAACAAACCCAAACATACTAAAGCTCGGCTCGGCTCAGCTCGGCTCATTTTGCAGCCCTTGCCGATATGGGATCGTAGCATACCACAACACTCCACAGTCAACGTCCACGGCAGCCCACTCTATCAACACTAACCTGGTGGAGCCTTTTCCCTTCTGGTAGCTTCACTCAACTATCAGCATTCGACACCTTTTTAGGTGTCTTAATCCAGCCTATAGGTCGCCCCCTCCACGGTTTGAACCGGAAAGCCGCACCCATTCGATCCCACACTGGCATAGGTGCGTCCGATCCCATACTTGACGTGGTGGCTGGCCCCGATACCAAATGATGCGTACCCCTTGGGTAGAACTCACCCTTGAAAATCGGCTTGCAAAGGGAGGGTGCCCAAGAGGCTTATATGCATATGGCCAACGCCTATGTTAAACAATTCTAAAAAATGATTCTTATTATCAATTGTTTGCACTTCAATTTTCAATATGTAGAATTGTTTAATATTTCGCAATAAACTACCAAAGCAATAAAATTCTTAAAAATTATGTAAACAAACCAACACTTGAAAAGAAGCTGATATAATTGTCAGATACATGCACATTTACACAATCGTTTGTAATTGTTCATAGTTTCTAGTCTGCACAGATATCAAAAATTCAGCAAAGCTAAGTAAGCAAAGCGAGCTTTTTAAAGAAGCTGATAGTATTCTGAGATACAAAGTTACAAACCCATGCAATCACATGTCATTCTTGTTCAGATCTAAGTCCATCAATCAAATTGAAACCCATGCAGATATCTTTTTCTTTTCTTTTCTTTTTCTTTACTCAACATCATGCAAAATCCGCATTTCAACTCAAAAAGTAATGCATTTGCTAAGTTAAATGAATAAACAGAACATACAGCTTCAGCAAGAGAATCTGTCAGCTCCCGCTCATGAGCGGTGTTTTCTATTATTGGGACAACAAGCTCATCATAATAGCCATGCCCTTGAATTCCTTTTATCATTTCCATATGAGTAATCTGTAATCAAACAAAAAATGCACAATAATGAGATGGAAGACCCAATCAAGACCAAACAAAAGTCAATTTTCAACAAGTTGATGGAACCATCTGTTAACGCTGGCTGTTGTCAAAATAGCCTCGATTATTATTTGGTAATGAGATAATTCCCCAACCACAGTTATCAGAATAACTCTCTTGCAATGAAAGAAGATGCCCATTTCTAAAACCCAAAAATTAATATATATTACAGGGAGAAAATTCTTTTCCATTTTCCATAAAACTCTTGTAGATGCTCTAAATTTTTGGGGAGAAATGTTCCCAGGAGTGGTACGAATTGAATTTTTTTCTTTTTTTAGTGGCACATAAATCCCATCTTAGGTGCAGGAATCCCCTACAGGGGTTGACATTTCTACTCTAGAACCTGGATTCCTTGATTAAGAGCAATAATCGAGTTAGATTGGGGATTACATATGAAAAAATAGATTGTGGAAAAGTTATTGGAATTGTTTATACTCAAGTACAAGAGCTAAAGTTCAAAAATTTACTCGAAACTCCTTTGCTAAAGGATTTATCATTGTCACGAGACAAGATTCCATTCCATGACTGTGAATAACAGCACCAGCATTACGCATATCGTATGCCTGCAAAACAAAGCAAAGGTGTTATTTTACTTGGCAAAAGAAAATCATAAAAATGAAAGAAAAAACATAAATGAACCTAGATTTATTGAATGGCTACACCCCCTGAAACATCAAAACTCTGTTTCCCACACCTTGGGCATTGAGGGCTTGGCAATGCTAAGGTTGTAATACTAGGGATCATGATGCAGAGGACATTCACATGCACCAATTGCAATATTTCAAATAATTTAAGATGGCTCAAACATGATAACATATAGGAAGTTGAGAAACCAAAAAAAAAAAAAAAAAGCAACAGATGGAAGACAAACACTTAATTCTTTTTGAGATCAAGCAAATGGTATTTTTTTAATTATATAAAATGTAAAAATAAATGTTGCTTTAATCTGCATGCATGATAATATTGACCCTGTTTCCTTAACAATTAGACAATGCATTCTCAATCCCTAGTGCACATACAGCTCTAAGCCTCTAAGCTGTTGAAACTCTCTCTCTGGTCACCTCCATGGAAGCACAACAAAACCAATGAGACTACAAATTTTAAAATTTATTAATATTGATAGTGAAGTGATTTGGCAATAACATGGAAAAAAAAGAAATAACTCAACCTGATTTCCTGTGTCATATAAAAGCTATAAAATTCAAGCTTAAAAAATGAAAATTATGAAACTTAATTTTGAGAAAGAGCATGTCATAAAGCATTACTCAATTTCAAATTTTAACTATTGTCACCAACTTAGTTCTGAATTTTCCTCAAATAGACACAAATGATAAAGGAGACAGTCTCCAATACAATGAAAAAGATACGAGATTAAGGCCTTGTTTGGGAAAGGCTATTAATTGGCTTTTTAGATTAAAATCCACAAAAAGACAAAATAGGCTAAAATAGCCAATAAGACAAAATATCATATCAAACCCATAATTATTTCACTTTTTCTCTCACAAACATCACATTTAACTACAAAAAATCCAACTATCTTCCCAAACACAAAATTATTAGCCTACTAAAATAGCCTAAAACTAAAATAGCCTACTAAAATAGCCAACTTCCCAAACAAGGCCTAAGGAAAGAGAAAAATTACAATTAAAAAGGAATAAATCACTATGGCAACCTCCCAAGTTCCCAACCTATGTCATGTAAAGCACCATGGACTTGGGTTGCAAGTTTTGGGTGTGGATACGTATGTAGAGATTGGACCTATCAAACCTCAAATTCAAAAGTATGCAAACTCGGTAAAAAATGGTCATTTTTTTTAATCTATTTTGTAAGATAATATGATGTCATATGTAACATATGGTGTCAAAAAGACATTTTACTCATTTGATAGTTACTATACAATAATATACACATATAATGATAGTGTTATATACAAAACATATAAAAAGTGTCCAATGGAAAATACCACACACATATCCCACACCTTTGTCCAAGTGTGAGGTGGGTATATGATTTATTTTGAAGAGTCCATGTAAAATAGTTCCCAACAAATACCTTCATGCATGGGTTGTAATACTTCATAGAATGCTAGGTTCTAATTGGTCCTCTCTTTCACAAATCCATAAGGAAGAAACATTTAAGGATAGGCACATTCCAGATTTATTTCTTTCCTTTCCTTTCCTTTTCAACCATTTACCTTTACAAGCCAATTACATTAAAAATATATTTTAATAGCAATCCAATAGTCATTAACATTCAGAATTCTTATACTCTGGTAGTTTTGTTTGGACAATAAGTGAAAGAAATACAAAAGCATTCAAAAATAAAACCTCCAGCTATACTATACCATAATCAAATATTATATGGGTGATCTAACTCCTTGTAATAGTGATTTCTCCATTACCTACCAGTCATTAGTGACCTGTTGCTCCTATACTCTAAAGTAGATTTACCACCATAATACTAAATTTTGCAAAGCACCACATTTAACAATATTCTAAATATATATATGCAATGTTAGACACAAGAGACTACTCAAATTACCCAAAAATAGTCCCTTTTCATTCTAAAATAAACAAGTTCAACCATTGAATGGAAATTTTAGCCAGTAATCTATTTGAAAATAACCTATCCTTTAGAAGAACTCCAAAATTATAGACTGGTTTAACTATTCAAAACACAATGAAATTTTATACCATAATAGAGAATAACTGAAATCATAAAATTATTGTGCGCAGCAATAATACAAATCCCCTTCAACAAGACCAACAAAAATATAAAAATGAAATTAGAGAGACCTAATGATAACCCAAAAAACAGATAAAACATACATAACCATCTGTGGGTAAATGATTTTAGCAACATATAGCATTAGTAAGAGCATACCTTCAAGAAGAGAGAAGCACAATCAGAGCATTTAGGAGGCTTATAAGGGTATGGCTTCGACAAGGGCGAAGACAGTGTAGACCCACTTGGAGATAGCACGTACATGTCCTCTGGAACCATTCTTTCCTTTTGCACACCTATCCACACACACAAAACAAACAAATACAACTAAAGCCACTACAAAAATACAGAGCCAAAAAAACTCAAATGAAATCAAACAAGAAATAACATAAAAATATGATCCTGAATAAAAAATAAAAACAGATTTAGACACGACACATAAATACCTACATGTGCATATACATATACATATACATATATATATGTATAAGCATTCTTTCCTTTTGTACGCCTGTCCACAAACAAAAACAATTGAAGCCACTACAACAATAACGAACAAAGCCCAGATGAAATGAAACAATAAATACCATGAATATGATCCTGACTCAAAAATCAAACGAGATTTACACATAACACAACATAGAAATACCCACATGTACATATACATATATATAAGTACAGAATTGAAGATAAGAACTGAGGCCTCTACAACAATAACAAACAAAACCCAGATGAAATCAAATGAAAAATAACATGAATATGATCGTGAATCAAAAAAATCAAAACAGATTTACACACAACACATAGATACCCACATGTGCATATACAAATACATAAGTACACAAGTGAAGATAAGAACTGAAGCCACTACAACAATAACAAACAACCCCAGATAAATTCAAAGAATAAACAACGTGAATATGATCCTGAATCAAAAAATCTGAACAGATTTACACACAACACAACATAGAGATACCCACATGTGCATATACATATATATAAAAGTATATACAAGTGAAGATAGAGAGGAGGGTGTACCGGAAGGGGACATGACGATGAGTTGGTGGGGTTTGGGGATGGAATCGTCGTGGACCTTAATTGTGATGCTACCACCAGTCCCGGAGACCCAACCCAGATTGTAGAATTGACGACAGAGCTCTGATATCAAGGCCTTTGTTTCTCTCACCGGATTGCTTTCTATATACGCCTGCGAACTTGTCGCCATTTTTGCTCCGTTCACAGCTATCGATGCTGATGCTGAAGCTGCTGCCATCTCTGGTTGAGAGAGAGAGAGAGACAGAGAGAGAGAAAACGGGGGCTGCGTTTGGAGAGTGAGCACAGGGTTCATTTGGGAAGTGGAGCCTTTTTGGCCTTTTCACTTTGTTACTATTTTAATCTGGAGTTACAAATTCTGGTTTAGAAAATATTTTTTTTATTTTCTGTGCGAAAAAACATAATAATTATGATTTGGAGTTAAAAATTCTTGTTTATAAAAGATTTTTTAATTTTTTGTGCGAAAAAATATGATAATTATAAATTAGATATAATATTTTATTTTAGAATAATATTATATATATAAATTGATATACTAACTAATATATCAATTGATAATGGATATATAATTATAATCAACCCATATTTCCCTAATATTTTGATAGAACAAATCAACTATTTTATTACTGTTTTCCCATTCACTCTTCATCAAAAGAAATTTCCACTCTTACTCATTTTCATATCCAAATACAAAATTTCATGGATATTTAAATGGCATTATGGAATTTCTGATGATATAATTATCCATCAACATTCTGTTAAATGGTGGGATAAGTTCACGCCTCACCGCATTATTGACATTGTCCAAGCTGAATTCCCAATTAATTAATGTGCTCCTACTCCTGTAATGATTAAATCCTAGCAGAACCCAATTGTTGTCATTCCTCAATGAAGTTTCAGTCTTCCTCCAATCAACCTTGAAAACCCCTCATCTAGTGGTTCCAAGCCCAAATCATCCAAGTCAGAGTTTGTTTCATCAACTGATAGATCAAAGTCTAAGGCTAACTCCAAAGCTCCTGCAGTATCGACTCAGCCCAAGACTCAATCAAAGTCCAAATCAGATAAATCAAAGGCTGCTTCGTCCAAGCCCAAGGTAAAGCCTAGATTAGCCAGTGATCAGCTGCTTCAAATGGCCCGTCTCCTGATGGATCAGGCCCACGCCCAATTAAAAGATGAACTATCTGATGATGAACCTCTTGCACCGGCCCAAAAGTCTAGTTCAATAGAAAGTTCAAACAGTTCACAAGGATCAACTAATCAAGACCCATTTGGTCCAGAGTTCCAAGATGCTCAGGATCCATATGCTTAATCAACATTGGATTCCATGTAGATACAAATTAGCTTCAATCAATACTCTTTTGAGAAAAGCTGCTAATTTGTATTTATATTAATTCCTTTAATCACATATTCCATCGAAAGCAATGAATAGTAAAAGTTACTGTTCATTTTACTGTTCATCAATCAACTTTTTTTAAAGCTGCTCAACTGTTCAATCAATCAGCCGAAAGCAACCGACAGCTTGCTCAGTCTTCAATGCTGCCAGCTGCCTTCATCAATTATCCAAATCACATGTTGCATAGTCAATTTCCTTTTCTATATATTGTAATCAAATGTATTCATTCAGACAGGATTCGTTTGAGAGAAAACCTGAGAGTTCTAAGTGAGAATCAACGTCTTTTGTAACCTGTTAAAGATCCTTGCATTTGCAACAATTGTAATTGTAAGTTACTTTCAGTATTTTAATATTTTAATTAATTTTTTGTAAATTATTCCATCCTTTTATCTGTATTTCAATTCCACTTCTCATTCTGCGCTGCTGTTTCCCCTTTTATGGTATCAGAGCCAAGTTCTATTGATATCTGTTGCTTACTGTTTTGCTACTTCTGCTAATCAATTCTATTTTCTTTCTAATTACTCTGTTTCCAGTCTTCTTAATCTGCCAAAGTTATATCTGTGTCTTTCCACCTTGCTACTAGTCACCCACTTTCGTCACAATCCTTGGTCAGTCCTTTGGTTAGGCAGGTTGGATTGTAGAGGTCTTCCGAATATGGTATGTATGAACACAAGGTATGTGAAAATATGATAAATTTAGACAATGTATTAAGATTCCTGTAAAACAGTTTAATTACAAGAAAAATGAATCGATTATTTAGAAGTAACTCCTCAGTCAGTTATAAATCATCAACTACTTTGCACTCAATACCTAATCAAGGATTAGTAATTAATGAAGAAGATGTAGAAATGCAGAATGATAAAATTGATTTAAGTTGGAATATACCAAAATTATCAGTGAAAGAAATTTATAAAACTACTTTTCTACAAGATACATTCAAGGTTAATTTGCATGTTAAAACAATAGAACAAGTTTATGCTTTAGAAAAATCTAGAGAAACATGTCGTTTACTTGATGTTAATACAATTAAAAAACATTTAAAATCTGATCATAATTTTATTCATTTATGATTAATTCAAGTTGGAATCAACCCTTTAACTCCACAAGGTAAAAATACTTCTGTTTTAATATGTTTAAGAGATGCTCGTTTATTGATTACAATGATAGTTTAATGGGAATGGTTGAAACTGGTCTTCATAAAGGACCTATACATTTTAATTGTTTTCTTGATTTTACTCTTAGTCTTCGAGATCCTCATATTTTAGATGCTTTAATATTAAACATCCAATTACATGGTTCATTTACTAATATAAAAGAAAAAACCCATAATAAATTTTAGGAACCCCATTTATTTATTTATTATATCTATTTACTACATCTAGTGAAGGAATAACTACTCATGTTTTAGGTTAACCTATTACATTTAAATTCTTATATCCACCAGAAATGTTAGAATTAAATCAATTAAAAGATTATTCTATTTCTTACAATATTAATAGATTACTTCGACACTTAAATTTTCTTAAAGAATAGATTAATTACAAAAGAATTTATCAACAATTAACTGATCCAATTATTATTTCTCAAATTATTTCTCAATTATTATTTCTCAATTGATATACTAACTAATATATCATTTGATAATGTGGCATAATTTAAGAGGTTTTTGAAATTTGTAATGTGATTAATGAGTCGAATCAATAATAATGTTATAATTAATATTGATACACTAATTAATATACTAATCGATACATATAATACTACTGTTTATTTTATTAAATTAAAAAATTTATTTTATCTTTTTATAATTAAAATAAGGGTCCAGCTTGTCTCAAGTGGAGATCAAGACTGGACCCGTCCAGTCCGGCCCATAGGGCCCATTTTTTTGGGCCCGTTTTGATAATCTAAACCATGCAATGTGCAGAACTCGTCGAGTACTATATGCCTATAAAAAATCACGTTGATCGGATATTAATAGCTATGTGATCAAATCAGTTTTGTATAAAAAAATAGACGGTGAAAAAACTAACGGTTGATAAAAAAACTGTTTTGTTCATATAGCTATCGATATCCGATCAACGTGATTTTTTACAGGCATATAGTACTTGATGAGTTCTACACATTGAATGTTCGAATTATCAAAACGAGACCCGTGATGAACTCTCACAGACATAACAGTACAATCCAATTCGATCTTGAACTGGACCAAAGCCACTACCTTAAAATAACTCCAAACCCAACTTAACCATCTTTTCAAATGTCGCCAAAGGTACATAAATTTAGGCCCGTTGGGAATGAAGGTTGGAGATAGAATATTTTAGTTAAATAAATTAAGAAGTGATGTTTAATTTATAATAATTATTTTTTTATCAAAATTAAAAGAAGTGACATGGAATTGTGATGAAACTTAGAAGTTGATTGAAACACGTGGCATCTACGGAATGCCCATGTGAATCGTGACGTTACATTACAACTCACAAGTACTAATCAACGTTTGGTTTGAATTCAATTTTTCAAAAAATTTATTAATTTTTTTAATATTTTAAGTAATTTTTTAATTTTTAAATATATCTAATATAAATATATTTTAAAAGTATAATATTTATAAAAAAAAATTAAAAATTAATTAAATATCAAAAATATAAAAAAAGATAATTCAATATATTTTGTGTATTCTTATGTATTTATTGATTTTTTAAAATATTTTTTTACAAATATTTTATTTTTAGATGCATTTAGGTAATGTACATCTAAAAAAATATAAAAAAATTACTTAAAATTTTAAAAATATTCATTAAAAACAAAAAAAAACACGAAAAAACAAAAAAACTCAATTTTTGTAAAATTGAATCCGAAAAATTGAAACCAAACACACTGAATGGTTGTTTGTGTAACAACTCAGATTTTTAATTATTCTGTAGAATTTATACTAATATTATTTAATTACAGTTAGGAAAATATATAATTTATTATATATTATTATGTGTAATTTTATAAAACAATATAATTAGTAAAAGTTTAGGAGTCAAAATAATAATAATAATAATAATAATAATAATAATAATAATAGGTGCTATATAATTATGAATTAGATCTTAAAGAAAGTGACGCCTAACCACGTGATGGCTCGTGGATGGCCTCACCTCCCTATAAATAGGGAGGCGTTTATGGGTGAAGAAAGGAAAGGGAAGAAAGAAAAAAAAGAAAGAGGGAAAGGAAAATAAGAGAGGAAAGAAGGAAAAAAAAATAATGGATGTTAAAAAGATCTTTGGTAGTGAAAAGAAATAGTGAGATATTAAAATTAAGGTGAGTTATATTATACTTTGAGTCTCTAAAATGTATTTTACATATGTTTTGACTTACCATACTTATTTTATATAAATTATATTTTATAAATTATACTAAACTATATTAATATTTCAGTTACATGGTTTAAATTCTGAACCCTATTTCTGAAAAGGACATCCATGGATATGTTTGTCTATATTTTAAAGAATATTTGACTATGAACTTATATACAATTATGTTTTGTAAGTACCGCTACGGGAGTCTCATGCCTTGAGGGACTTAAATAACTATCGGTCTCTGTTTGACCACTTTGTAGTCCTCTGTCTGTCTTGAATCCATTGACTTAGGTTCTGTGCGGAGCTAAGGACTACACTATTGTGAGAGCCACCTCTTGAATCCGTACCCTTGTTTTGTGCAGAGCAAAGTGCTACACTATTATAGGAACCACCTCTAGAATCCGTACGAGCCACCATTTGAATCCGTACTTCTGTTTTGACTGTCACTTCTGTGACCTCTGTTCTGTTTTGTACCATGGTTATGGTTATATATTTACATTAATTCTGCATTTCAGTTTCTGTCACTTAAATGATTTGTTTACCAATGATTTATTTACATAATCTCAGTTT